ACACACACACACACTTCACACACACACACACACTCACACACACACACACACACACACACACACACACACACACACACACACACACACACACACACACACACACACACACACACACACACACACACACACACACACACACACACATATATATCAGGATATATATTAGGATATATATCCCTATTATCTACTCCTGATATATATATATATATATATATATATATATATATATATAAAGAGAGAGAGAGAGAGAAAGAGCGAGAGAGCGCGAGCGAGGGAGAGAGACACACAGAGAGAGAGAGAGAGAGAGAGAGAGACAGACAGACAGAAGAGAGAGAGAGAGAGAGAGAAGAGAGAGAGAGAGAGAGAGAGAGAGGAGAGAGAGAGAGCAAGAGAAAGAGAAGAGAGAAGAGAGAGAGAGAGAGAGAGACACGCACACGCACACGCACACCACACAGCACACACGCACACACACACACACGCACGAACGAACGCATGCATGCACGCACACACGCACACACACGCGCGCACGCACGCGCGCACTCTCTTTCTCTCTCTCACACACACACACTCTCTCTATCTATCTATCTATCTCATCAAAAGCGTATTAAGTATGCATACTTAATATGCTCTTGAGCTTATTTATCTCTCTCTCGCACACAAATGCAAACGTATGAGAGCATGCAGCGCATACTCATGCTAAAAGCCCCCAGCCCTTCTTACCATCAACAGCTTCCTCACATAGACGCTCGTAATGAGATAGATAATAGGTACTGCCACCTGCCGGCGACAAGACGAAGTCAACGACGCGTGGAATCTCCGTCGAGTTAACGACAATATTTTCACGGAGTAAAGTTGCGTAGCCCTCCGCAACAACCTGTGAAAATGTATACACTCACTTCACAATTACAGTAAATATTCTACCTATTAGATAAAAACGAACTAACGGACAGTTACACAAATAAACACAAAATAAACACCAACAACAACCACAAGTGGAGCGTATCTCTGAGACAGTTAAACAAATTGGACAGAAAAGAACATATACATTAACCCACGATTTCCCGATTCCCGCTCTTCTGCGTACGCGGGTAACGTAAGTGCATGTAATATGCGCAGCTATTAGAAGACACTCCGCTCTGCAGTTTGTACTTACAATGACGCTGTAGCGACCTGGAAGCAGAATCCTCCAGTACTCGCCCCTGATAGTGGATCTGGCGGGATGCAGGCGTTCCTCGATGAACACGCAAGCGTTGCTGATCCCTTCTCCCGACAACTCATCACTGACAACTCCCCGTACTCCTACCCAGAGAGAGAGAGAGAGAGAGAAAAAAAAGAGAGAGAGAGAGCGAGATTGTGGGTGAGCTCGCCAGAGAAAACAATTTAGCAAAAACGACGTTAATACGTCTATTCGACGTCGGTTTAAACTTCAATTAAAAACCTAATTAATTTAAAAACTTTACCCATATTTGCCATGCGAAGGTAGCTGAGTAGCGGCCTGCGATTCGCCTGCCAGTAGTCCGGTAGATGGCGCTCCGACGGGTACTTGCAGCAACTAATCTCAAGCGTTGTCTCCATGCAACTGGCCTCGATGTAATTGAAGTCCTGCATGCCACCTATTACATGTAAACGTAAACTTCACACGCAAGCGGCTCCATCACGCAGGTCCTCACGGACGCATGCTGGCAATCGAGTTCACCCACGATTCACCCTGAGTTACGCATCGTTTCTAGTATAGCAGCATCGAGAACAGGTGAGATTATGTTGATGCAACATCTATACTGCTCTAAATATTGCGAATCCGATTGAAGCAAAGAGATGCCGCTCACCTAACAGTTTCATAACTTTACATACAAAAAACGTACAAAAACGTACGAAATACTTTAAATTGCCTCTTCGTTAACAGCGGCAGAGCGTGAAGTACATTCATTTTATTTTATTATATTATTATTTTTTATCGAGATACCTTTAACCGTATACCAATCAGCTCCGTTCGTGATGCCGTATTCGAAATCGGTGAATGAGTTATCGCATTTGTGACTATTGTGCATCGTTGGGTGGCTGTATGAATACGTCATGGCGAGGAAGCGAAACACATCGTCATCGGGAGACGTGTTGTACATGCCTAGTATAACAAGAACCACGAGTGAGCTCCAGCATGAAACAGCAACGTGTAGCAACACCATGAAACACGTCCTAGTGAGAATCTTACAATCTTAAATTTATAACTCGTGATCGTAATATTATTTCGTCGTTGTACGTTTACAGGTAGCGTTTGCTGCACCGCACCGCGCAGAAAACCGTTAAGCGTTATTAACCATTGATCTAATTCGATCGAATTTGTCACGAATCAGAGCATGATCCGTCACAGCAAGCAGTGTTGTCAGACGTACCCCTTGTCGTTCCTTAGCATTAAAACGACTTGATACCCATCAAACCGTGTTGATGGCACAAGATGCCGGATTGCGAGCACAGGCACTTGAAGCGGTTCAATAAAATATAATGCTAATTAAATACGAAATCTATTTACTACCAAATTCTTAATGTTTCTATACTCTCTTTCACCTATTATTGCCGACAGTTTCCTGTAAATTCCGTCCAAATCCTATGTGCAACATACGCCGGCGGCCGCCATTGCTCATGCGGCTGCACTGTGCGCACTGACACTTATATATGACAACAACATTAAGAATTTGATAGTAAATAGATTTCGTATTTATTTAGCATTCTATTTTATTGAAACGCTTCAAGTGCCTGTGATTGCGAGAGTCAATAAGGACATCAAACCCGCTCAGACGACTAATTGGTGTTCAGCAATTAACTCCTAATTGACTAATCGTTCACTGATATAATTGCTAATACAGTTGTGATGCAAGAAATACAGTGATCGGATCTCATTCACACACGAAGCACGTACTTGCTCCCGTTCTCAGTCGTTTCCTCTTCACTCCACGCGGCAGGTTGTCGTAGGGATAGTTAGCGACCAAAGCGCCACCGTGGAAGTTGGCGCTCAGAACAAACTGTCTCTCTTGCATCCACGCCATGACGGCCTGTGTCTCCATCTGGCGAGGAGGATAGCTATTATCCTCGAAGAAGTCAGGGAAGTTTCGGTTGAGGTCGACTCTGTTACTGTTTCCCCTGAGAAGACATTAACATGCAATGAGCAATACCGATACTTGACGATAGTATGATTAGATACTTATGTTTCTTTATTTTAATTCGGTGCCCTCTTGCGTAGGCTCTTTTCCTTCTATGATGACTTTTTAGAAGATTTTCAAAGTACGTTGTCTGATAAACAAATGCATCTTCGTTCATTCACTTTTTATGCGAGAACGTTACATGCATGAGCAATGTTTGCGATCTGATATGAACACGCGACAGTAAACAGTGACAGCGATACAGAACTGACAGATTGACAACTCACCTGCCCTTCACACCGCGGCAATCGCCTTCTACCGAAGACTCGAATCCGTCTGGGTTCATGCTGATTAGAATGTGCAATCTCATGCTATCGAGTATTTCTGTGACGTTGCGATGAAGTCGGTAGCGTGAGGCTAAGTAATTCGCAAAATGTAGCAGCAACTCCCGACCCACCGCCTGCGTGAATGAATGTAGGATAGAAGTGAGGTTATAGCCACCTATATGTCGCCTACCTATATACTTATATATCCCCTACTAGCCTGGTACCCGGCGTTGCTCGGGGAAAAACGCGTAGGAACAACTTTTAAGAGCAAATTCAGCCACATATACTTACTTAATTCTAAAACATTTTCACCCCCCTCCCCCACTTCACCCATACGATCCCCATCAGAAAGGAAAAAGAAGCGTACTGGATTCACAATCTAAACACTATCCAGCCACACGGACTCAATCTACGGGTAGAGATTCCGAGATGGAGAGAAGACAATAATCACCCTCCCACCAGCATGGTATAAACGCAAGCCTAATTCTCAGCCGACACTCTAGGGTAGCGGATGGCCCGGTTTACCTTTTTATAATTTGTTTAACTTAATTCTAAGGATAGATTCATAACAGAGAAACATACAATAGCAAAATATGGCAAAATTCGACGACCGCTTGCGTATTTGCGAAATGCAGAGCGCCATCTTTTTCCATTTCTACGGCCGTCGGCGATATGCATATACAAGATATACGCATATATATGCTATGCTGCTGGACTTTTAGTCTCCGGTCGACGATTTTACCTCCCGTATATCATTTCGACGTCGTCTCTGCGACGGGACATAGTGTCGGCGACGTGCTTTCTATGAACATTGCGTTAATTCAGCGAAATACTGCTTGCGTCGGCAACTCTAGGGTATCCAGAAAACTCGGTTTGTGCGTTTCGGCTATCCGTTTTACAAGGAAACTGGTCGGATTGCGCATGCCCGTTGACGCCGAAAATATAGAGCATGAGGCGAGATTATGCATTCAAACCATGGACGGGCTATCCGACAATAGCAAAATATGGTAAAATTCGACGAACGCCTGCGTATTTGCGAAATGCAGAGCGCCATCTTTTTCCATTTCTACGGCCGTCGACGATATGCATATACAATATATATGTATATATAGGCTGTGCTGCTGGACTTTTACCCCGTACAGACTACGAATTTGATAGCAGGGCATAGTTTAACCTATGGTTTAACCTGGTATTAACATAGTTTGGGCTTTTGTCCGCTAGATGGCTACATTCGCGGGAATTCGGTTCTTCTACTTTTCTGACATCACGCCACTACTAAAACTACTGCTCGTATTGAGGCCTATATATCGTCATTATATCTACAAATATGGGTGGATTTGAGAAATATGGATAAGCCTATGTTGGTGTCCGACACACGGGCTATACACTGAGATCGGCGGCGTGGGCTTCATGCTCACCGCGACGAAGATTACCGCGTCAGAAAACCGGCCTCGCCTCTCTTCTAATACATCGGCTACCGAAGAACAATCCCACGCTGTGTTGCCAACGTGATTTACTATCGATACCGTATCGGTTATTATATTTAACACATTATTATATAAGGCCTAATTATTATAACCGATACACTCTCGATACGAAGTAATAATGATGATGATTATGATAATGATTATATATTAACGTAACAATAATGATTAACATTTGTATTAATTAAAAACGGTAATTGTTACCTCCCTGACTATAATGGGCGTTTAGAATCGAATCGGAAATTATTTGACGATGATAGAAGAAATTGAATTAATGTAATATCAAATACTTGCGCAAGACATCGGTGACGATTGTATTGACTTTACTGCTCAATATTGCTATTATTTTACATTTATTGATTGATTATTATCTCTAGTTTGATTAGCATTTGTCAACAGCAGCAAATAGTCTACATTACCTCATTTCCATGGATATTACCGACGTATTTCACTTCAGGACGCCCTAGCACATGTCTGTCCTGCACGCCAGCTATCGACATCACCCATAGCTCTCGTCCTAAACACGAGAAAAACATAAAGAAGTATTTGATATGAGGTTAATTTTAATGTGTTTGGGACATTTAAATATCAAATTATATGTCATGTCTTTTTTCAATATGAATGAATAGTTATTGGCCTGAGTTATTATCTACAGTATATAGCAACGAAAATCTTTTCCTATGCTTACCATAATCAGTTCTGCACCCACTCGTTTTAATCACCAAGAACTCCTTTTACAACGCGGAATAAAGTCCCCTGTACAAGCTACACTATAGTATTTAGTAGTATAAGAGGGGGGGGGTCCCAATTCGAACTCCGTATATTTTAACCTGCGCATTTTGCTACGTAGTTTCCATAGAAATAGCCCATCTAGTAAATTGTTGCTGTAGTTGCTTCTAGCATCGTAGTTTATAATAACGACCATGTGATTGAATCGACGATAAATTCAAACGCTAACAACACGAGTACTTCAGTATCCGGTTCTAATAATGACAATATTGACCTCGAGTGCAGTACCAAAACGGAAAGTGGTGAGACGAATATATATGTCAATGCATGGTAATGTTATGTGTATCTATAAATAAGTTTGTTTTGTATTGTATACTGGAAATGTCAAATGCAATGTTATGTCTACAATTGTAACTGTTTTATGGCAATAAAAAAAAAAATATATATATATAGAGCTTGATATAGGTAATAATGTCTGACAACTTAGGTTCACAGACCGTCGGAATGCGTGCGTGCGGTCCCGCGCGCGCGTGCGTGTGTTGCCTGGCTGTTGGTGGGGCGTGTGTGGTAGTGGGTGGGTGGGGTAGTGGGGGTGCAGTTACGGCAGGTACTGATCAATGTTTGCCGTCTGCACGAACACCTGTGCCGATGACGGCCGCCCCCGTGTGCGTCTGCTAAGAGCTAATGAGGATTCTGCTTCGCACCTCGGCAGGTGCGGTTACCTGTATGCGCAACATGTGAGCATGATCGCTGCTAGGCTGCTGTCATTGATGCGTGTGGAGCGGCGGCATCCGCGGCAGGCTCACCGCACCTGTATCTACCGTACATATACACATGTATCTACCGTACATACACACCTGTATCTACCGTACATATATAAATATATATGCACGCCGACGGTTATTCGCACTTCGTTATACGCATATTGTTTCGCGAAAGAATCTATCAGGTTTCTCCTCTTTGCTTCTTTTCGTTGAAAATCGTAAAACCCGTGCTAGAAGGCGATCACAGGTAAAATCAGGTTTTCCACCTGTACAGTCACCGCCTCACTGCCCTGAGGCAGCCAGACGGCGGCACGGCCACATCGCAAAAAATTATGTAGAAATGGGCGTAGGTATATATGTTTTGAATAGACGTGCGGGATAAAATTCACCGTTACAGTCAACTTGCTATATAAAACTGCCCTTCGTCATGGGCGCGACTTAAACTTGTTTTTCCTGCCGACCCTGAATTGTATAAAACTATTCAGAAAACAACGATCACGTCCGCCAATCCGGATCCACATTAATTTACCTTATGATCGCCGCGCATCGTTCTTCTCTTTCAAAAACCGGATCGAGTCAACATTCCAGATTTTTTCTTCTATCGGCGTTTATATAATAGCTGTGTTTTTCGAGGCGGTAGGTGCCGCGTCACGGGGCCGAGGCCGTCAGCATCTCGTGTGTTCACGCGCGCCCGCGCATTCTGACACGGTGGATTAATGGCCGCGCACGAGTTTTCACTGACATCATTGCCCGACAGTTAAGCAAGCAGCCTTGACCGCACATGCACACTGTACTATCCGTATCGAGAGGTATTTTTTCCGGAATGCACGTTTGAATTTTTTTGGCTAGCGTGCGAGGACGTCACACCGTCTATGTAAATACAGTTAGATCGTCATTCCTGTCAGAGGCAGGCCCGACCTCGTTGTATTGCCGTGGGTGCATCCGACCCATTCGAGAGAAACTTGTTCTGCGATTGATTCGCTACTTGATAAGACATGCGATGAGACAGGTAAGAAGAGAACCGGTGTGACATTCAATATTACACTTTTTCCGCAACTGAGAGGCACGTAAATAAAGTGGCAGCCAATCATAGATATCACAGCATGGTTTGTTTGTGCGCTTTAAACGGCAATAGAAGTTCCAGCAATGGAAAAAATAACTAGTATTACAATTTGTAAAAGAACCCTGACCCATAGTTTAGATATACACAACAGTCACCTTCTGATGTATATCTAGTAAAACACGTATTGTTTTTATGAATTCTATTCGTAAAAAGGTGACGAATCAGAATGCGATGTTATGGCCCTGTCACACATTGACGATTTAGCCAGCGTATGCCGGACGTATCAAAAATTTGGTGAATACGCTGGCGTTTTAGAAGATGTTTTCAAAGTTACGTTGCTCTGATTAAACAAATGCATCTTCGTATCATTCACTTTTTATGCGAGAACGTTACATGCGATGAGCAATGTTTGCGATCTGAATATGAAAACACGCCGACAGGCTAAACAGATTGAACAGCGATCACAGAACTGACAGCATTGACAACTCACCATGCCCTTCACACCGCGGGCAATTTGCCTTCTCGAAGACTCGAATCCGTCTGGCGCTTCATGCCTGCATTGGAATGTGGCAATCTCATGCTATCGAGGATTTTCTGTGACGTTGCGATGACTTCGCGTAGCGTCCGAGGGCCTAAGTAAATTCGCAAAATGATAGCCAGCAACTCTCGACGCCCACCGCCTGCGTGAATTAATATGCTAGGATAGCAGTGGGGTTATATCCACCTATATGTCGCTACCTAATATACTTCTTACTTATCCCCTACTAGCCTGCGTACCCGGCGTGGCTCGGGGGAAAAACGCGTAGGAACAACTTTTAAGAGCAAATTTCAGCCACTATACTTTACTTTAATTCTAATAACATTTTCAAAGAGATAATTAATTTTCATATTCTAAACATATCATTTACAAAGATATACGTATATATAGGCTGAGCCTGCCTGGAAATTTGTCTCCGGGTCGACGATTTTACCGACCATTATCTTATTTCGACATCGTACTCTGCGGACGTGACCTAGTGTCGGCGACGTCTTTCTATGAACATTGCGGAAGATTCAGTCCGAAATACTGCTTGGCGTCCAGGCAACTCTAGGTTATCCGAAAAACTCGATTTGTGCGTTTCGCGTCTATCAAGTTTTACTCAAGAAAAGTGACCGGATTTGCGATGCCGTTGACGCGAAAACTATAGCAGCATGAGAGCGAAATTTATGCCTCCATTACCATGCGACCGGCTGCAAAATATTTTTTCCCCACTTGAGTTCCGAACCACACCATCAGCGCACTCCAGTTCACTCGACTTCTTCGAAGCAATAACTGCTAAACTGAATACCTCCCTGATCCTAACCCTAACCCTAACCCTAACACGCTTACCCTGAACCCTAACAACTAACTATAATCCAACCCTATATATTTAAGAACATTTATTACAAACACTAATCTATGCTGTGGGCGTCCGGAAACTCAGTGGGAAAAAAAAATTCGTGGACCGGCTTATTACGCGGGCCGCCATGCAGCGACAAGGCATCTTTTTGCTACCTATAAACTGACAAATAAGTGATGTTTGTGGTGAACCACAACCTCAATTCTGCTCAATCCTTGCATCCCACAAAATCAGTAATGATCTCAACTCTGTTAACTTAGTGACCCAGTTCTGCTAGCCCAGTTTGCTGACAACTGGTAGCCCTTTCTTAACATGTCCCCGTGTGCCATATTTGGCGCAACAAATCGGGTAGTTTTGTGGAACCGGATGGACAGGAATTGGAGTTTTGATCCTTGTTTATAAAATTGAGTTTTGTGCCGGACAGGATTGACAGAATTGAGTTTTGGTGTTTCACAAAATTGAGTTTTTGTGGCGACAGGATGACAGATTGAGTTTTGTGTTCAACCAAATTTGAGTCTTTGTGGGACAGGATGACAGAATTGAGTTTTGTGCGTCACAAATTGCACTTTTGTGAGAGAATTGGGATGTTTTTGTGCCCACAAAGTGAGTTTTGTGAGACAGAATTGAGTTTTGTTAGACAAATGCAGCCCTGTCCTGCATGGCGCCCCGTCAGCTATCCGACAATAGAAAATATCGATAAAATTCGCACGACCGCCTTGCGTATTTGCGAAATGCAGAGCGCCATCTTTTTCCATTTCTACGGCCGTCGCGAGATATGCATATACAATATATACGTATATATAGGGCCATGTGCTGGACTTTTGCCCCGTACAGACTACGAATTTGATAGCAAGGCATAGTTTACCTATGGTTTAACCTGGTAAACAAAAGTTTGGTTTTGTCCGCTAGATGGCTACATTCGCGGAAAATTCGCGTTCTCTACTTTTCTGACTATTCTTATTGCTCGCCTATCATCTACAAATATGGGTGGATTTAACAAATATGGATAAGCCTATGTTGGTGTGCCGACACACGGGCTAATACACTGAGATCGGGGCGTGAGGTCTCATGCTCACCGCGGCGAAGATTACCGCGTCAGAAAACCGGCCTCGCTCTCTTTAAACATCCGGCTACCGAGAAACAATCCACGCTGTGTTGCCAACGTGATTTACTATCGATACCGTATCGCGTTATTATATTTAACAATTACTATATTATAATTATTATAACCGTACACTCTCGATACGAAGTAATAATGATGATGATTATGATATGATTATATATTAACGTAACAATAATTATTAACATTAGTATTAATTTAAAAAACGTTAATGTTACCCCTGACTATAATGGGCGTTTAGAATCTAATCGGGAATTATTTGACGATATAGAAGAAATTGAATTAATGTAATGTCAAATACTTGCGCCAAGACATCGGTGACGATTGTATTGACTTTCTGCTCGAATATGCTATTATTTTACATTATTTATTTGATTATATATCTCTATTTTGATTAGCATTTTGTCAACAGCAGCAAATAATCACATTACCTCATTTCCATGGATATTACCGACGTATGTTCACTTCAGGACGCCCTAGCACATGTCTTGTCTGCACGCCAGCTATCGACATCACCCATAGCTCTTCGTCCTAAACACGAGAAAAAACATAAAGAATATTTGATATGAGGTTAATAATTAATGTGTTTGGACATTTAAATATCAAAATTAATTGTCATGTCTTTTTTCAATATGAATGTAATAGTTATTGGCCTGAGTTATTATTCTACAGTATATAGGCAACGAAAATTTTCCTATGCTTACCATAATCAGTTTCTGCACCCACTCGTTTTTAATCACCAGAACTCCTTTTACAACGCGAATAAAGTCCCCTGTACGAGCTACACTATAGTATTTAGTAGTATAAGGGGGGGGGGTCCCATTCGCAACTCCGTATATTTTAACCTCCGCATTTTGCTACGTAGTTTCCATAGAAAAGCCCATCTAGTAAATTGTTGTCATATAGCTTGCTTCTAGCATCGTAGTTATATAAATAACGACCATGTGATTGAATCGACGATAATTCAAACGCTAACAACACGAGTACTTCAGTATCCGGTTCTAATAATGACAATATTGACCTCGAGTGCAGTACCAAAACGGAAAGTGTGGGAGGACCAATATATATGTCAATGGTAATGTTATGTGTAATCTATAAATAAGTTTGTTTGTATTGTATACTGGAAATGTCAAATGCAATGTTATGTCTACAATTGTAAACTGTTTTATGGCCAATAAAAAAAAAAAATATAGATTATATATATATATATATATATATATATATATATATGTATATATATATATATATATCGGATAGATAGATATAGATAGATAGATAGATAGATAGATAGATAGATAGATAGATAGATAATATACACATATATACAGTGTGTGGGTGTGTTTGTGTGTGTGTGTGTGCGGTGCGTGCGTGCGTGCGTACGTGCGTGTGTGTGCGTGCGTACGTACGTGCGTACTCACGTGCGTCCTCGTGTGTGTGCGCCTGCGTGCGTACGCGCGCATGCGTCCATGCGTGCATGCGCGAGTGCGTGCGTACACGGATTAGTGACTCACCTTCCGCTGACCTTCCGATTGTGTACAATCGCGTGATATCGGGGTAGGCTTGGTTGATTTCTCTCAGTACTCTCTCAACTTCGTCGTAATGGTGATAGGTAAAGTCGACGCGTATCGCCGATGTGTGCAGCACACACGTCAGTGCGACGAGCAACGCCCATCTGCAGATCCGCATGTTCATATTTGACGCGTGTATATGGAGACGACGTAGGAAATGTGTGACTAGTCAGTCAGTCAGTCGATGGGAACATCGTTCCTAGAAACAAAAGCAGAAATAGTCGCGGTTGTCCGTGTAGCCGCGCTCGCTAACACCAGGGCAAACGCACGCACACTCGCACTCACGCACGCACACATACGCACTCACGCATGCGCACATACGCACTCACGCACGCACATACATAGTACTCACGCACGCACACGCACACATACGCACACGTAAATCCATA